TTCTCTGTCCTAGTTCTGTTTATGTGTCACCTATTGAATTTCCGTCACCCCTCTAAATTAAGGCCTCATTAATTCATCACATGAATGCCTGCTCTGACTCCTTGCGTGACGTGGATGGGCTTTTCAAGAAAAGTGTCAGAAGAGTGCACAAACTATCAGGTATGAGTATACACTACTGTTCAATAGTCCGGGACCAGCAAGTTTCAGCTATTTTTTTTTAAAGAATGTAATACTTTCATTCAGCAAAGAAGCATTAAATTGATCTGAACTGACAGTGAAGCCATTTAAAGCCAAAAATTTATATTTCAAATAAATGCTGTTCTTTCTATTTATTAAATCATTCTGAGAAAATGTATCATGGTTTTCCACAAAAATATTGAGCAGCACAAAAGTTTTCAAAATTGATAATAATAATAGTACATCTTTTCTGAGCACCAAATCAGCATATTAGAATGATTTCTGAAGGATCATGTGACACTGAAGATTGGAGTAATGGCTGCTGAAAATTCAGCTTTGCCATCTCAGGAATAAATGTAATTTTAAAATGTATTCAAATAGAAAATGGTTATTCTGATTTATAATAATATTTCACAATATTACTGTTTTTACTGTATTTTTTTATTCCAATTTGTGCAGTCTTAGTGAGCATAAGAAACGTAAAAATCTTACAAAATCTTTACAAAATTACAAAATCTTCTGTCCCCAAACTTTTGAACATTAGTGTACATTTGTTTATTTTACTTTACTTTACTCTGGGTTTTAAATATGCAAACACTGTTTTGTCATAGATATTAAACCAGCCTCCACGCTTGATTTGCGTGAAGATGGAACAGAAAGTGCTACACCCTCTATGGGAGACAGAAGCCAGTCTGTTCCTGGCCTTAATGCTGTGAGTTAATTTCTAACAAATTCAAACTATTTTAAACAAGTTTGCACTGCATTATTTACATCTGCAATCTAAAGTGACCTGAATGTCTGAGTTGTTTCATTAGGATGATGAGGAGGAGGAGGAAGATATTGATAACTTGGTGAATATACACAGGCAGAAATTCAGTAATAGCTCAGGAAGTTTGGGAGGCTCGAGGGTAACCCACTTTAATATTATTAATTAAAATAATATTAAATAATAATTAAAATGAAGTAATATTGACATTGTTTAATTTTAAATAGATTATTACTAATAATACAACAGTATTTATATATTTATTTTTGGTTTAAATTAATTTATTAAATAAAATCACAAATTAAATAAAATCAAATATTAGACACTTGAATATGCTACCCAGCTGTCTTTTTTTTTTTTTCCACAGGCCACTCTTGGTAGTACGATGAGTGTGTACAGTGAAGCAGGAGACTATGACTGTGTGGAAGTGAGTGGAGATATTTTCTTCTCTCTCGGCTACGACGAGCCCAGCCAGTGCCTGTCTATTGTGATCCATGAGTGTAAAGGCCTGGCTTATGCTGATGCAGCAAAAAAGAAGTGCAACCCGTAAGTAGGCCTCCACACAGCATATGCTAAGTGATTTCCATGTGGTTTCCTGAGAGGGTCTCAGTTCTTTACTGTCTTCCAAGAATAATAATTTTCCACCCGTGACCCATACCACTGGGTTTCCCTGTTACAGAGAGAAAATCACTGCTAAACTCCCCCAATTGGTTGATTTCTTTCTACAGATACGTCAAGGCTTACCTCCTCCCAGACAAAAGCAAGAAGAAAACCTCAATCAAACATAACATTAACCCCAGTTTCAAGGAAACACTGAAGGTATAGTTTCAATTCCTTTTCAATAAATCGATTCCTAGCAAAACCAAACTCCCCAAAATAACTAATTCCTCACGGTTTGGAACAATAAATACTATCGGAAACTGATACCAGTGGGTAATAATAGAAACACTTAAAAGTCTATATGCTGTGCTTTAATGGCAGGTAATTAAAACACTGCACACTAACATCAGGTTTCAAATGGGCTTAGTATTGACAGAGAAGATAAGTACACTGTTATCACCGAGTCACAGTCAGACAAATATTAGTTCATATGCTTGCCCCATTTTAATCTAGAGCAAACAACATGCGCAGTTCACAGACTAAACAAACTGGCCAAAGCTCCTACAGGGTAACCTTACTGTAATTTATTTTATAGTGACAACTTGTCATGTGCTTGTTTGTTTTAGTATTCCATCAGCCGCACCCAGCTCATGACTCGAACACTGCAACTCTCAGTTTGGCACTATGACCGTTTTGGCCACAATGCCTTTCTGGGTGAGGTGGAGGTACCAATGGATAGCCATGATATTGACTCTGCACATCAAAAGTGTATGGCTCTTAGAGGAAAGGTATATGCTTGTTTTGATGCTACAGCAATAAGTCACTGTACTCAAGTTGTTGTTTTGTTTAGTGTTATGGTTAAGCCTGATTTATACCAAAGACCCTTTCAAGGAAAGTCTGTTCACTCGGTGGCCATATTTTCAATGCCACCGGGCAGCTCATACAAGGCCAAGTCTTATCTAAATGAATGGGGGAATCCTGAAATCTCAAAAACTGCTCGCTGAACTCGCAATTAAATGACATATTTCAAATCAGCAACAAAATCTGATATGAACTGCCCCATGAATGTTGTTTCTTATGTTCAAATAGCGTTTAAAAAGCTTATTTTTAGGCTTGGCCAGCCAATGCGCATGCAAAAATAAGTTTTATTAAAAATAAGATCAGGTTTCTATGGGAACTGGAGATTCAAATGGTCGCTGCATTGACGAAATGACTTTACCAGTCAGCGATTGGCTCTTTCATTAAAAGGTGGGACTATTCCGCCATATTGCGCGTTGCAGTTTCTCCCATTCATACATATAAGAGTGAACCTTCTTTGTATCTCAACATTGTTTCCTGTTTGTCTTCATAGGCAGCTGCTCAGCCAGCATCTCCATTTGATCAGTACAAAGGAGAGCTGGTGATTTCACTGAAGTACGTCACAGCAAATAAGACACATGCAGAAGACTCTAATGGAAAAGGTGAGGGGAAAACCATTAACATAATCTGTAAAATGTCTTTAGCTTGTGTTACATAGTAAATTATGCCACCTATTCTCTACTGAAGGAAAAAAGACCAAACCCACAGATGGTGCTGAGCTGCACGTGTTGATCAAAGAGGCCAAAAATCTGACAGCCATGAAAGCTGGAGGCACATGTGATTCCGTTGTGAAAGGGTTTGCAAACATGTTTCATTACATCTGTTTTGTTTTAAAAGGCCCTCGTTTGTTTATATCTACTAATAGCACTGTCTTTCAGGTATCTGCTGCCATCAAAGAACAAGTCTTCCTCAAAGAAGAAGACTCCGGTAGTGAAGAAGACAAAGAACCCAAACTACAACCACACATTTGTGTACACCGACCTGAGTCTGGAGCAGCTGAAGGATGTATGTCTGGAGCTCACCGTCTGGGACAGAGAGACCCTGCATAGCAACGACTTCCTGGGAGGAGTTCGCCTCAGCTTGGGAGGAGGTAATGCTACATATTTCTTTGAGCTGAAATCAATTCAGAAGCCTTTAACATTGATTTAATTACTGGATTCACTAACTGCAGATACCAAATTCAGAAGAAGTGTCACTGTAACACCATTCATGTATTTTCTTTTCTAGTCAAACTTTATTGATATGATTCATGTTAATAAAACTTGAGCTAATAATGTATACCATACTAAAGTCTCAGCAAGACCTCTTTAATGTATCTTATATTCACTTATTTGGTCAAAAACAAAGTAAAAACAGTAATATGGTGAAATGATTATGCAATTTAAAATAAATGTTTTTCTATTTTAATATATTTTAACATTTTAAAATAATTTATTTCTGATGGCAAAGCTGAATTTTCAGCAGCCATCCAGTATTCAGTGTCTCATCTTTCAGAAATCATTCACATATGCTAATGTGGTGCTCAAGAAGCATGTATTATTATTATTAATGTTGAAAACAATTGTGCTGCTTAATATTTCTGTGGAAACCATGATACATTTTACATAAAAAGAAAGATCCAAAGAACAGCATTTGAAATTGAAATCATTTGGAACATTATAAATGTCTAAATTGATGTTTTCACAGTGAATATCAAGGAGGGAAAGGAAGAGTGGGTGGCAGACTCCACAGGGGAGGAGATCTTGCTGTGGAGGAAGATGATGCAGTACCCTGACTCTTGGGCAGAGGGCACTCTTCCACTGCGCTCGTCCATGGGAAAGGGCAAGTAAGGACATTGCGCAATCCCCCCACTCACCCAAAGCCATTATCAGGACAGGGGGTTACACATTCCACAACATTTGTGTGTTGCTGTTACAGCTGTGCAATATGAGAACATTAATGCATCACAGTAATATTTTAAAGACTTTTTAGGTTAATGCATATGACCGTGCATAAAATGCTTTTATATTTTTAAACATTTAAGGCAGTTCAAAAATAATGATATGAAAATGTGCAGTGTGTATATGTTAATTATATTTATTGCCTATAAATGTTGCAGCTGAATGGATGTTTTGAAATACAACATCATTTGAATGCTGTTCTTAAAAATGGAGACAGTAAATATTTTAGTTTGAATAATACTTTGGTTTTAAACGTGCACTTGATAAATGGCCCAAAAATATTTACGTGTTTAAACACAATGTATTTTAACGTCATAATGCTGATTTACTCCATTGTGAGCAACTTCTTTTTAGGAGCTACATGAAAATACCAGCATTTAATAAATATTAAATATTTTTAAGAATCCACATTGTGTGCTGTGCACTCGATTATAGATAGTTTCTTCAGAATATTTGAATATCTTGGGCATCCTCACATGGCACTTTTCCAGTTGTAGATTAAAACCTGTTCCGGTCTAAATCACATTTCCAGCTGTGATTCTCTGTGAATAATATCTGCAATATGTAGTTTCAAATGATTGTTTGTCTAGGAAACAGGCTCTTGAGGTGCCTGTCGCTATAAACAAAACTTCCACCCACAACATCAGACCTGGAGTTGATCAGACCGAGGTCAGTCACAGAAGTCCCTGTTCATCTCCAGTCTCTCTAGCTCCTCCTCTGCGAGGAGATACTCATCTACATATGAGTAGAGCTCATCAGAGGTGGTGGGGTTAACAAAGCGCTCCCGATCCACACCATACTCATCCAGCAGCACCATGGTGAAATATGCCGTAGATATATACAGTGCCTGTCTGTTACATACAAACAAAAAACACATGAAAACCACATTTAGATTGGAAACACACATGCACAGTGGAGAGAATCAGCCAAGCATTTTCTTTCAGCACTTTCTTTCAGAGTCACTGTTGTTGCAAAACCTCATGAAAGTGTTTTGTCCAAAATTGTCATGTGTCTTTTATCAAAATATGGCCTGGTCTTGAATAGAAAATAGGCTGGTCAGTATGTCTCTGCTGGAACTTAAAGTCGGTATTAAATCCAGTTTAATTCCATGTTACTTGATATAAAATGAGAAGGCTTAGAATAGGATTTGATTTTATCAATTGGGAACCTACAGGACGTTAAAAAAGTAAATATTGTTAATATCATGTTGACTTTGTGTATTTGTTTGTAATATTGCAGTCATCTGCCAGTATGACTTCCATGTAAGTCTGTAAATACAATAGTATTAGTAAGTATACAGTATTTAACATGTAAACACTACGGTGTAGATAATTCGGAAGTTACCTAAGACCCTCTATGACTTCAGGATCTAGTCGTTGTTCTTTGATGCGGCCCACTTCACGAGGTGAAGTTCCTAACAGCTCGATCACTGTCACATGTCGCAGATCCAGACCACACTCAGCTTTCTGTCAGAATGTTCCCACAATCATATTATGCACTGTAATAAGATCGATACTCTCCTTATTTAAAATAATTTTTGCTTTAGTCAAAGACGCACAGTGTCTATACTACCTGCAGCATAATATTCTGAAGCCTGTACTTCTGGTTAGCGTTGTCTGGAGTAGACACAACAAGAAGCCTTCTCTTTTCATAAAACTGGTCAAGCAGAGCACCAGCAGACCTGACGTCTGTTTTAATAGCCATTACTAAAAGAAAAAGCAAATGTTTCACACAAAAAATTGAGAAAAAGTATTTGACTTTGTTTCAGTTAAAAATAAACCTAACCTCAACCACATACTCACATACACACTGAGCGGCTTCATCAGACCAGCTGCGATTGAGCTGACAAACGCGTGTTGCAAAACCTGTCCTTTCGAAGCCAGGATCACAATCATATTCACATACAGCCCCATAATTATTGCCATCAGATGAGCATGTCAGATAGCCATGCATAGGTGGCTTAAGCTTTGGGCATCGTCTCACTGAGGGAACGAACATTTTGGTTTTAGGCATATATACCACTGTATAGTACAACTGACTGGATCTAGAGAAGGAATTTAAAGCCTTAAGTCACATATTATTAATGTTAGTTACAGTTAAAGGCATGGTTCCCCAAAATAATTTAATTCTGTAATCATTTACTCATGGCTTTATTTCTTCTGTTGAATGCAAAAGATATTTTGAAAAATGTCTCAGTGCTTTTGGTCCATGTAATGAAACTAAGTCAGTGGGGTCCAATATTTATGTTCCACAGAAATCTGAAATAACAAAGGTGAGTAAATGATGACACCGTTTTCATTTTTGAGTGAACTTTCTCTTTAACACTTCGAAGCAGAAGCAAATCAAAATTGTATACTGGCTTCACCTTCAACATGCACCGTAAACTTGCATGTGGCTCTGTTGCGAGCCTGGTCAGAGACTTTATATCGAATTACATGCATTCCTTCAGGAAAGTCAGATCCAGACTCCAGCCCATTTCGCAAGACCCTGATAAAGGATGACAAAAATGCAGTTTACAGGTTGCTTCTTAGACACAGAGGAAGTTGGATGGCTTTCATAAAATGTGATGCACATACTGAAGTGCTCTGTCAGCGGTATCTTTAGCAACCGGACGCTCCCATGAAACCATGGCAGTTAGTTTTCCTGGTTCTGCTACCTTCACTCTGGACAAAGGACATTTCAGTTTGGGGGGATCATGATCTGAAACAATGCAATTTTTATTCAATGTTACAACGTATTCTCTCTGATTTAATAGATAATGACATAATGGCATCTGCAATCTATCAAATGAATACATTAGACTAGACTTGCAAATGTACCTGCACACGTCGGTTCTGTGCCACTCCATGTTCCCTCTTCTTGGCACATCCGGTAGCGATCTCCCTCAATCTGGTAGCCTTCATAGCAGGTGTAGTCACACCTGGAGTCTACCACGAAACCACGGGTGCAACTGTACATACCGTGGTCAATCAGAGGCAGAACATGGCAGCGTATCTCTAAGATTCAGACATAATATAAACACATGGTTCAAGTAAGGTACTCTGCATCAGCTGCCAAATACATGTTTGTTACTGTATCAAAGAGTTAGTTTTGTGACACAATTATTATGACACCTTTTAAGTGTACTTACTTCGACAAACAGCGGATCCAGACCAGCGGCGGTTGGGCATGCACTGCACAGATGATCGTCCCAGCCGTTTATATCCTCGAACACAGGAGAGCAAACAGCGAGTTCCAAGCGAGCCCCGGTGGTGCCCGCCTCGAGGAGAAGAACAGGACACTTCTCCATTGGACAGCTTAAGTACATGGCACCACTGCGGATCTGATGGCAAAAATGGTTTTAAAGTAGCTGTAGCATTTCGCATTTAGTCATATTGTATAATTAGTGCACATATTTACGTTTATAGTCCAACTGAGGGGTGTAGTAAGTCTCGTCCTCATGCACAACTTCATTGGTGTCCTGGTAAGAAGACGCTGAGCCTAAAAGAGCAAACATAAAACCTGAAGCTTTGATCTCAAAAAAGTCTTCTAAAAGTCATCTTCCAAAAGACTTGAGTCTAAATATTGGCCGGCACATCATCATAGCAGCAAATCAGCTGCATCATTAGTATCCTGCAGCCTCAGCAGTAGAGAAAAAGATCCCCAACCACCCCGGTTTTTGTTTCCAAGCAGCACAACCACCATCATCATTCTTTCCACTCTCACGCTTTTCCGGTTTCACATACATAAACCTCTTTGAAACACATTGTTTAGAACCATGAGCTTTCCCTAAAATATAAGGATAATTTCAGGAAAAATATTCAGAGAAGACCCCTAAAGGGAGCTTAAAAAAGTTCAATACTGTACAGAATGTCAGCTGAAATCTAGGACAGAATTGTTTTAGCCAATGCCAAAATCACATTTGCCAAAAGGTGCTGCTGTTTACACACAGAAAACTGAAGAGCCAGCCAAGTCAGGGTTTCCAAGTCCATGTTTACTGGATTAGGATCTTTGAAAATAATTTTGTAGAGACTGTCTCATCAGGAGTACTTTTCCATGCATGAAAAAAGTTTTACATTTCACTCATTTTCTAAGCTGAAGTTCACCTAATACTGGCAGCTGGTCACCTGTCTAGGGTGTTTCCCTGCCTTCATCCGTAGTCATGCTGGGATAGAATCCAGTGACTGTACATAGAACAAGCAGCTATAGACAAATGGATGGATACTTATTGAGTCACGGAATATATTCTTACAACTCACCATTTCCTTCAAAGTAAAAAATTGAGACATGTCTGAGCACAAGAATATCTGAATCTATGCCAATGATATGGAAAGAGGATAACAGTATGCAAAGATGTTGCCAGACCTAGAGGGATCTCATTTTAAATATCCATCCAATTTACAAACCGTTTGTCCTATGTAGGGTCGGGGGATGCTGGAGCTTATCCCAGAGTCTTTGGGCTTTAGGCAAGGAAACACCATGGACAGATGGGCAGACTTTTTAAATACATTTATTTAAATATATAAATGCAGAATTTATACTGATAGAGACTGACTGCAGCTGTCTACAGAGTTGAAACATACCAAGACTGTGACTCAACATTTGTCAATACCCACACTGCTGTACACTACCAGGAAAACATTATGTAGCCCTCCTCAAGGGAAAACTTTCCAACTTGTGTGAGGAAAATGATGTTCTCATTTTCACAAACTATTTGGAACTGTGCCGAAAGCCAAACAACTTTACTCTTTTAATCACACAAAATATGTACATTCCCATGAGCATTCAATCAGTTCACTTGCATAGCTGATACAGTACATGGCAAGATATTTCTTGCTTGTTTGTTTGTTTGGTCTTGGACCCAAACATGACACAGGTAAAGTTGTTCCTTTAAAAAGGTCAAATTAGGGCTCTGTCACAAATGGTGAGCTCATACTCAGTGATTTACTGGGTCACTGGGTTATGATTACAACTGTTTAGATGGTATGGACATCATTCATCAAACAGTGAACGTTAATAATATGTCATTAGATACATTAAACGCTTAATGGATGAAACAATGTATGTTTATGTCTATGAAACTACTCCTTTGGCCAAATGTACGTGACTTATTCCCCTGGAGGCTGAATCATTTGTGAATCAGAATCTTCCAAGACAAACTAGTGCGCGACTGAATGACAGTGTGGGGTTTTGAGAATCAATAGCTGGAGGGAAAAGGCTAAAACGCAAAATTAAAGAACATGTTTAAAAGTTTAGTCACTTTAGCCTGCATACTATTATTTATGAAGGTTTTTATATTCAGTTCATTCCTAAAAGCTAAAACAAAATCTCCATTTATCCATTAAGACCTGATAGTCCGTAACTTCAGTGCAAAGGTAAACACAGCTGAACGGTTGAGAGAGCTTAAATTATGTACTTTGCTTTACAAAAATAACCACACCGTTCAAACCAGAGAAGATTACCGTTTCATAAAGAAAGAGAAAATAAAGATCTCTTACCCTCAGTGTAATCACCCAGAGACTGACAAACGATGCACAACTCAACAAAAAGAACAATAAATCTGATCATTGCATTAGGTGTCAGGCGGAAATATGGCTATAAATGTTAAAAGCAGAATTTTACTTAAAATATATTCTGCTATTTCCAAAGTGATCGTTCGGATAACAAATTCTTGACAGAGGTTAGTCCCAAGCAGTGAATCCCACGCAGCCTTCAAGCGACTGGCGTCTCTACATTATCTCAGCACAAATTTCTTCCACTAGTCGGACTTGCAACTCTTCTGTGTAATATGCTTGGACGGATGGTGGCACTGCTGTTCCATTATTTTGAAACTATGGCCAAAAAAAAATAAGGTCTATAAAAAGCATTTCAAATGTTTTTTTTTCTACTCTGTAGTTACAATAACAAAAGGAATTAGAAACTACTGAATAATTAAAGAACAAATGAAGAGTCTCAGTCTGAAGTTTTCTTCTAAAATGAGCATTTTTCTCAGGCTCCTATGTTTATGTTCAGTTCATTCACATTAATGGCAATGAAAATAACCTATTCACTGCCATTAAAGTGAAATTACTGAACCTACACATAGGAGCCTGATAAAAATGCTCATTTTAGATTAAAATTTCAAATGGCACTTAGAGCTTTGCATCTGAACTCTTCAAATATACCTCAGGGTTGGCAAGACAAAGAAATTCATTTAGATTTATAGGGTAAAATATACATATGTTATTTTGAAGTTTCATGAATTGAATACATTTTGAAACATTTCAAACATCCTCATTACTGCAGTCTTTAGTCTAGCTAGCAGTAATGAACTATTCACGCATTTGATAAATCCAGTACAGTAGCGGCGTTCCTTAATGAATCAGTCTTTTGAACGAATTTGTTTTTCTCCATTTTGTAGTATAAATAATGTGAGTAGTGTGTTCACACTAAAAAGCGCACCCGTGCAAAGTGCATTTCGAATAACCAAAAAAATAATAAACAAATAAATAAAAAGTGGAATGCTAAAGCACTCGGCGTTTGCAGCGTACCCTACTACGTAGCGGAAGGGGCGGAGTTACCTGGATGGCGGACGGAATGGTAGACGATGCCGCTTCAGAAAACGTTTTACAAATTTGAGTTCAGTACTTAATCGCCATCCGTTGTGTGAAATGTGTCACTATTTTAAAGGCTAATGTTACATATTATGTGCTTTAAGTAAACTTCTTCTGTTAAGAGTTTGGCACTGTACACTTTAAATATTGAACAGTAGAGGGGGTGTTTAGTGCGTCAGTGATCGCCGCCTACTGGCGTAACTCTGTGTAACCTATAGAAATCGGTCTAATTCAAGGACTGTCTGGAGATAACTGTTGCACAAGGTATTAAAGACAAGGTATTAAAATTGACCATACGCAATTGAAAGATGATGACGTTTGCGGAAAAGGAAACCGGAAATATCACGTTGCTATGCCAACACATTTAGAGCATCGTTGCGCTCTCACACTACTTAAATGAAGGAAAATTATTTCTAAATTTGGAAAGTAATTTGAAAAAAAAAAAAGCTTGTACTTGTTTTATTTTGTTCAATGTTTGAGGAGCTGCAGCGTACGTACAGCAGACATCTGTTAGAGAAAAAAGGAAGAGGATATTAAGAACAAAGTTTATTGATTTAAGGTAAGTTGTAAACCACACCTGCCGGCGCCAGCATTTTTCAAATTAACGACGGTTGTTTACGGCGACGCAAAGAATTGTGGGTTATCTGTAGCAGCAAAGGATACACCTCATGCATCCTCCGAATTCCTGTAAAAGAAGGTCGCATTCAGAGTGCCCTACTTGCTTTTCTGAAATGAGACAGCCTCGATGACGTATGCAGCCTTCGAATGTGACCTCCGGAGGGTGCAGCCTTCTAAACGAGACAGCTTGTACATTATTGTTTCTCTATGCCCCGCCTTTTTGAAACGTTTCGATTTTTACAAAGCTCATCGGTCTGAAGCACACAGTGTCTCCACGGCATGGCGGCAGCGGCAACAATACTACAGCGAGAATAAAAGTTACGCCTTCTTTCTTTGCGTTAACATTTGGGCGGCGTTATGCAAATCTTCCCACATAGTGAGGTAGATATGTGGGGGCATGTTAGAACGAGCCGTTTTAGGTAGGCGTGGTTAACTCTTAACTTTTATAAAGAATATCTCTGGATTTGAGACTTTAGTCTTTGCAACTTTACAGATCTTCTTTATGCACCAAGAGCTTGTAACACTCCAAAGAGAAAGGAAAAATTTTATTCGCATCATATGACCCCTTTAAATTGGTCCTGTACTCCTGCAAACGCCCTAAAGGCCTCTAACGTAACCAGAAGATGACTTAAACTTTGTTTTTCCCTTATTTAGATTGTAAATGAAAGCTGGAACAGTTAATCCATTTCTATAACTGTATTGGCATTTTATAAGGCATTACGTTATTCATCCTCCGATTAACTAAATATGTCTCTGTCGCTTTAATAGGCGAATTACTCCCGATCCGCCTCTTCCATTTAAGGGCACATTTACTTTTCTCGGCCGAGAATAAGTCTTCCTGGTTACGTGATATAGTCTGCCTTCCCCTTTAAATGGATTTTGGATCAATGCAAAAGTTGTGGTCATAGGATCAAAATAACTAACACGATTTCTCGAGGAAGAATCAGTTAGGAGGGAATCCTTGTAATTTCGCAGCGTTTCAGCGCATCAGGTAAGCGAGCTCTCCATGTTTAATCCGCCCTCTTGCTTTTCTTAAGGAACTGGAAATGACAAGCCTCGAGTCTGTTGTTGGCTAAAACACCGCTGTGTTGGAGCTACATAAGCATAATAAAGCATCAACCTACAGACATATTAGCAGGCTATTAGGTATGTGGCATACTTTATCGAGACATTTCTTTAAGGCAGAGATGAAACCGTAAGATCTAACATGCAAACATTACAAGTTTGTCTTGTAAAACAGCAAATGCTCGAGCTGCGATATTGTAGATATGACTCGCACAGCCGCGTTACTACGCTATAATTACAATCCTCATCCACTATTCAACATATCGAAAACATTTTGTGACATTTCAGAGTATGTGGGATCGGTTGCGCGTTGTATTATGGTGTGTCATGGATATGGCGAAGAAATACACGGCATGTCTCCATTTTAGACCGCAGAACCATTTGACTGTTTAATTTCGGTTACCTGTTACGTTAAGTTACGTGATTTAGTTATGTGTTGGGAATTTATGGCACGTTACACTATTAGGATGCACTCTGGCGTTCCTTGACTTCTAAGACATCAAAGCCACAAATCTTTTTTTTTTTTTTTTTGACGCCTAATAGATTCTTGGTACACTATTCAATTATTATTATTTTTTCATATTTGTATCCTCTCTTATAAATGTGAATTTGTTCCCACAATTAGAGGTCTTGACCTTCTGACCTTAGATCTGAAATAATCTAATTAAAATACTGCATACTGCAGTGTCATATTTGAGTAAACATTAAAAACAATAATTTTATATTAAAATTAGTATTGATTATCAAAAACTGTTTTTAATTATTAACATATTTAGTCCCACATATTGTGTTCTACATATTCTTCCAAGAAAAGAAAATGTAGAAAATGATTGTATTTTGTTTGCAGAATTTGCACAGACGTTGTAGTGTTAAATAAAAGTTACTTTCTAGGGTGAAACCCCATAGAAAATGAATGGAAAATAAAACGGCTCACACACTTTGACCTCCTGAGGTTGACGATAAACACTTTCTGAAGGTTAAGCATCTCCTTTCTCTTAGTTCTGAAAATAAAATTGTGTCATGTTTTTAAAAATGAGTTCCAGGCCCTGTTTTGTTCCCTTTTTGTGGAAATGCCTGGGTGTTATTACAGATTATGAGTTTGCTCTGTAGTAATTCAGTCTAGTTGCACTATAAATATCTTTTAGTATTGCATTTTCAGATGTAGTGCCTTTCATCATCAGTTTGTGTTATTTGTGGGGTTTTTTCTACTCAACCCAGTAAACTTGCAAGCATTCTGTTGAGCTGCTCTGACTCGTCTGCCAGCGTTAAAGCAGGATAACCGGCTGTGGAATGGCTTTGCTGACCTTGCACAGAACGCCATCTATTTCCACGACACCGGTGAGTTTTATTGCGCCTAATGAAAAATGTCCATTTCTAAAATGCTACAGAAGACGATATGAACGTTTTGTGTGTCAGTTGCAGTTCTCCACACATTCTTTCACCCTACTCCCACTCCCTCCATGTGTGTCCAGTTACTCTACACCTTTTTCTGTACACAAGTTTATGTATAATTAGGAGGAATGTCTTCTGGGTAGCGCACCAAACGCTTTCCAAATTTGCTGTGAATCTGAATATGAGAATCAATTTCACGCTGCTCCAAAAAAAAAAGACCCAGGATTATATGAGGATTCTGCTAAAGAGCCAAAATGCCTGATAACTTTTAGTGCTGCTCTTGATAGGTTTTGGACAATGTCAAGTAATCATTCTCTGTCTCTATTGGTTGATTGGTAGCCTTTGTATTTATTATATAACACAAGATTCCTTTTTCACCCATAACCCATGCAAACTATGTATCTTCTATAAAACACTATGTTCAGACTATTTTGAGTAAAGTCTCACTGGAGCTTTAACCTAAAACCTCATTGCCCCTCCTCTCCACCCCCTCTCTTCTTTTTCTTCTTGTCTCTGTCTGGACACGTCAGTCACATAACAGGTAATGTTACTGTCTCCTCTCTCATTCCATAGAAGCACTGATAACAGCCTCTTTGGTGTCCTTCTCGCTGTCTTCCTCTCTCACTCGATTTCTTTCTCTCTGTTTATCGTCTTTAGTATGAGCTTCCTCGGTGTCTTATCATACTGTCACTGCATTGCAGTTGGCAATTTTGTCAAAACGCCTTGTCATTGTGTTTACGGGTTTCCTTTTTTAAATTTTTTACCCAGTCATGTCAGAGTGAGTTATGGGTAAGAAAAAAGGCTAAAAAGCCCTTCCCAGGTGCAAGTTTTTATTCAGCTGTTTTGGCAAATAGCACTTAAAACTGAGTCAGATGATCCAGAGGAGTCAAGCAGAATCTCCTGGTGTCTGTTTGCAATTAAGTGCATCACATAATCAATTCACCCTCCACCCATTTTTAACATCACCATTCTCTGGACAAATCTTAGAGTTTACAGAGTCTTAGAGTTATAATGTCCCGTAACTTCTAATTCAATCTATTGTAATCGACTTCATTTTATTTTTAAGGATGAGCTTATTC